GGGAGAAAGGAAGGGAGGGAGGGAGAGAAGGAGGGAGGGAGGGGGAGGGGGGTGTAGCTCAGAGATAAAAATGTGCAAGGGTCTGGGCTCAATTCCCAGCATCTCCCTCACACACATAAGACACACAGCAAGAGCAGTAAAGGAAATATACCAAAGAAGGAGTTTACAATGGTAAAAAGCTGTAAAATAATTTTAAGTAAAAAGTATTTCTTATGTTTCTAACACAGGTGCAGACTCAAAAAGAAGAAAAGGGAAGAAATTTCATTTATCTCCAAGAGTAAATCAAAGTACAAAGTCACAGCCTGCAAAATAATGTTCCTGTGAGCGACAATAACTATTAATGCCTTGGTATTCATACTCAATAAATAAAATTTATTATGTTCTTATTATTTGGTGTTTTGAGACAGTATCTCGCTGTGTAGCCCAGGCTGGCTGCAAACGTTAATCTTCCTGCCTCAGCCTCCCGAGGGCTGGCATACCAGGTGTGTGCACCAGGCCTAGCAAGGCTGCCTCTTTGAGAGAAAATAAAAATATTCTAAAATTAGACTGTGGTGATGTCTGTAAACATCATGAATATTCTCAAAAACAATGAATTGTACACTTTATGTGAATTATATGGTACATGGAATATATCTCAATAAAGAAAATAAGGAAAAGTGAAAAAACACTATACAGGCTACCCTTTAAGTGGTTCATAGCCCTCCTTATGTGGCAGAGATACGCAGCTACACAGTTATTTGTGATTGTGCAATGCCGCCCTGGATTAATGTGCTGACATTTACTTAGTGGTTTACTAAATCAATTTTTTCTTTTTTTGCAGAACCGGGGATTGAACTCAGGCCCTTGTGCTTGCCAGGGAAGCGCTTATTCTACTGAGCCATCTCCCAAGCCCCTTAAATCAAATCTATTGCCAACTGCTGCCTTAAACATCCATGCCTCTGCACCGTGTGATACCTCCGGGAATTTTAGATGAAATACACAGCAGTGTTCACTTTACAAGGAACGCACCTCATGGAAGGACAGCCATGCACTGGGCCGGCCCGAGCTCGGGGCAGAGCGCCTGCGCAGTGCGCACGATGCCCCCCCCACAGCCCCTGCAGCTAGAACGAAGACACATACTGCCGGCTGCTCATGACACTCATTCCAACAGAAAACATGACAATTGCATTTGTCCCAATGCTGAGTATCGTCACACATACTAATCTCTCATGACCAGATTAAAAATGGTGAGTGATAATGTAAATGAACATTACTTTAATTATTGAGGGGGCTGGGGAGATGGTTGGGGGCCCGGGAGATTGCTCAGTAGAATAAGCACTTGCCTGGCAAGTGCAAGGGCCTGAGTTCAATCCTCAGTTCCGCCAAAAGAAAATAAACAAGTAGATTATTGAATATAAACACCACTCTGCAAGTCCTTTCTATTAAGAAAGGACTATATTTGTCCTTTTTCTATTTTTTTGTCATTTTATTAATTTCCCTGACATGTAACACAAGTTTTTATCAATTTGTTTTATAATTTTATTTATAGCACACCCCTCCCTATATATTACAATATTTACAATATTTTATACACTTAAATCTATTATTCTTTTTCTTTTTTAATTTTTTTTATTTGTGTGTGTGTGTGTGTGCGTGTGTGTGTGTGGCCAGCTCAGCCCACCAGGGGGCGGGGCGGGCTGGCATGGGGTGCTGGGGGATTGAACCGCAGTCCTTGTGCTTTGCTAAGCTTGTTCTAAGTAGGTGCTTTAGACCACTAAGCCATCTCACCAGCCCCTATTACTCTTTTTCTTTTGCATTTTTCTTTTTTGCAGATCTGGGGATTTATCTCCCCGGCCCAATTATTCTTTTTCTTGATGGCTCCTAGTTTATTTTTATTTTTGATACTGGGAATCAAACTCAGGGCCTTGTACTTGTCAGCCAAGCACAGCTGAGCTACATCCCCAGCCTGTGGTTCCAGTTTTTTGGGTTTTGTTGTTTTTTTTTTTTTGCCTTTTTGAGACAGGGTCTCACTATGTAGCTCAGGCTGGCCTTGAGCTCACTTTGTAGCCCAGGTAGAAAGATCCTCCTGCCTCAGCCTCCCAAGTGCTGGGATTACAAGCATGCGACATGACATCTGGCTTTAATATTTAGTTTTACCACCCTAATATCATAAAAATATGGTATTTTCTTCTGTTATGAGGCCTTTTATTTTAATAATCCATTCACTGACTACTATCTGTAGTAGCAGACCTGAATTTTTAAAGTTTGGCCTGTGAAATTCATTAAAAAGAAAACATACCTAATTGTTGAGCCCACTGGATGGCCGTCCCGGTGTCTCCTGCGTTGACTTCAGCTAAGCATACAACTTCTTGCCCAATCTTCCACCCAATTAATGGATAAAAGCCTTAGAAACCAAGTAAGCAAAACAAAAATTTAAGTCATATAATAACCATGCAATTCAGGCTTCCACAACCCTCCAGGATCTGTGCTTTTATCTTTGTTCCTTCTTTCCCCCTCGCCTATTTTTTGGTCCAAGCACATACTGCAGAGCCAGTTTCTCTCTGATCCTTTATTTTTGCTCTTAAAACTTCACCACTGCTTAAAAATAAACAATTCAGACAACTCTAATAGAATGGGTTGATGATATGCAAAACATGGCAAAGTTCCTATGAGGTCAGACTGCCTGAACTCAAATCCCAGCACTCTCAGATTTACCAGCTTTGTGAGATTTTACAGTTACTAGGTTGTTTTTTGTTTTTTTTTTTTTTTTTTTTTTTTTGGCAGAACCGGGGATTGAACTCAGACCCTTGCGCTTGCCAGGGAAGCACTTATTCCACTGAGCCATCTCCCCGGCCCCACAGTTACTAGTTTTAACCTTGCTTTCTTCAACTATAATATAATACAATGGCCTACCTACCTCAGAGAGCTGCTGTAGGAATGGGCTGAATTAATACATAAAAAGAACTTAAACTAGTACCTAGCATAAAATATGAACTATAAACATTAGTTTGGTCGGAGGGGGTTCTGGGGACTGAACCAAGGTCCTCATGCACACTGGACAAGTGCTCTACCACTGCGTTATATCACTAGCACCAGCCTATGACTAAAAGCATGAAGTAAGTATTTTAATTAGAAATAAAGTTTACAGTCTCAGACTGCTTTGCTCTAGACAACTAACCATGTTAACTCACAGTTGGTGGGGGAATAGACATAAAAAAAAAATCTTAAAAAAAAAAAAGAGAGAGATCTTGGGGCCAGGGAGATGGCTCAGTAGAATAAAAGCTTCCTTGGCAAGCGCAAGGGCCTGAGTTCAATCCTCGGTTCCAAAAACAAAAACAAAAACAAAAACAAAAAACTTAACACCAAATCTGAGTAACCGGAGGACACCAGTGCCCAAATTAAGAGCCCCAGCCTCCAGGGTATAGCGCCAAACACTAGATTTCTTGGTTTGTACTTTGTAAGGTTTCTTCCATTTGGGAGGGTGAATTCTTAGCCATTGTCATTGAAATCTTACACAAGCATGGACCACTAGTGGACAACTAGTATCCAAGAATAGTTCACAAAAAGAATAATTTTCTGCTAGTATGGTGGTGCACACCGTAATCCCCGCACTCAGGAGGCTGAAGCAGGAAGATCAATGTAATTTTGAGGCACTCCTAGGTTACACAGAGTTCAAGGCCAGACTGCACTACACAGTGAGACCCTGTTTCAAAAAATTAATTTCCTGAAACACAGACAAAAATTAGGTGTGGGACTATAGTACCATGGTAGGGCACCTTTTCCTTAGTATGTGCAAGACCCTAGGCTTGATTCACAAATCTCCCAAAAGGAAGAAGAAAAGGAAAACAAATTAGAGCCTTGATAGGAAATGTTAAACACATAAAACACGTACAGAGGCATGCCAGCCCCACTCCCCAGGGCGCGCTGAGCCGGCCACAGAGCCAGGCATAGTGGCGCACACCTGTAATCCCAGTGCTGGGGAGGCTGAGACAGGAGGATCACTATGAGTCTGAACTGCGTAGTGAGACACTGTCCCAAATGCATTTAAAAAAGGAAAAAAAAAGGAAGAAAAGATATTTAGAGAATTTTCCAAAATACCCTAATCCTTCTGTTTTTTTTTTCCTGTAACAGCTTTTCTGTTTATTCATGCCATTAATTTAAAGGGAAGAAAATAGGGATTGTATCATATAACAACAATAATAGTACTCAGGTGTCGGCAATGAACCGTAACATAAAGTGGGAGAATAGTGTAAATAACACAAAACAAATATAGATGGAAAAAGTGATACTTAAAAAGAGGAGGTGGAGACTAGGGAGATAGCTCAGTAGAATAACCGCTTCCCTGGCAATCCCTGGTTCCACCAAAAAAAAAAAAAGAGGCTGCTTCCCAGTAGTTACCTGAAGCTGTGAAAGGAGGGTCCTTGCCAGTGTTTATATCCAAGAAAGTGCCGGTCCCCATGGTTAGCTTGACGTCTCCAGTCTGGAAGCAGCATTCTCCAAACATGGCCGACTGCTGGTCACCGACCTGCGAACACAGCACAGCGCCGGGCCTCAGCCGCAGCCTCGCCCACTCCTCGCTCAGGTGACACTTCTGCTGCTTCTTCCCAGTGCTGAGCTCTCTCCCTGGTCCTTTTTAAAATTTTTTTAAATTTGTTTTGTTTTGCTTTGTTGGGTTTGAGACATGGTCTCACTGAAATGATGAACTGCCCAGGCTGGTGCTCAAAGTGCTGGGACTACAGGCAAGTACTACCCACCCTGGACCTGTACTTTTTTTATTAAACATTTTATTTTGTCTTTTATATTTTCTTAAAATAAAAAAACTATAAAAACGAGGTATAAAAAGTAAAGCCATATTAATATGCTGAGCTGTTCTGGGCTCAAGTCAGCAACTTTTGACATTGCCAGTCCTACGGATAACCCCCTACTATTATGGACTACTGGACTATATTGGATTATTTTGATGAATTCATGCACCCACAGTATTTAAATGGTAATGGTATACCTATCTCTGACAAAGCTAAACAAAAAAGGGAGATATAAATGAAGGACCATTTTGTAGTGAAATATATATCCGCATATACAGAATAGTTAGGATAGATACACAGCTTCTTTCTCTTAATTCAATGAGAAGAAAGATGTATACTAATAGTGTTTGGACAGGATATCATGTCTGCATCCTGTACGATGAATAACTACTACAAAGACAACAATATGCAATGTATTAATTATTGTAACTGTCCTACTAACCTGTTTTGAAACTGTCTCATTGCTATTTGTTTCTCAATAAAATTAATTAAAAAAAAAAAAAAGTCCAAAGAGAACAGGGAACAACAACTACAAAACAGGAGTGTCCCTCAGCCTAACACTGTCAGGGAAATTAATGTCTCAGGAATTTTTACCAAGCAGCCTACCTCACCACTTTTAAGTATCATATAAATAATCTTAGCAATAAAGGTCAGAAGAAAAATTGTATAAAACTATCTAAAATTTTGGGTTTTTTCTTGTCCTTTTTTTTTGGTATCAGGGATTCTAACTCAGGTCCTTGTGCTTGCCATGCAGGCACTTGTGCCACGTGCTTTCTTGTCTTTGAGACAGGGTTTTGAAAGGTACTTCAGGTTGGCTTAAGCTCACTTCGCACCTCAAGCTTTTACCTTAGAAAGGTTTTATTCATTCGTCAAGGTAACTGACTTTACAAGATTCTTTTTTTATTGAGACCAAAAGGCCACTCATGGAGACACAGGGCTGTAATCCCAGTGCTCGGGAGGCTGAGGCAGGACAATCACTATGAGTTCAAGACCAGCCTGGGCTACACAGTGAATCCAAGACTAACCTGAATTACATAGTGAGATTATCTAAAGAAAAAGAGAAAAAAAACTGACAAATGAACTAGACACAGTACCCTGTTATCCCCGCTATCTGGAAGGCTGAAGGAGGATGATCACAAGTTCAAAGCTAGCCTGAGCAACTTTGTGAGACCTTATTTCCAACAAAAATTTTAAAGGGGCTGAGGACATAGTTCAGTGGTAAAGCACTTGCCTTGTTTGCATGAGACGCTAGGTTCAACCTCCCATTTCCACATGCAAAAAATAAGTGGTAAGTGTATGTTTAAATAGATACAGGGCAGGGGCTGGGGAAATAGCTCAGTAGAATAAGCGCTTGCCTGGCAAGTTCAGGGCCTGATTTCAATCCCTGGTTCCACCAAAAAATAAATAAATAAATAAATAAATAAATAAAAAATAAATAGATACAGGGCTGGTGAGATGGCTCAGTGGTCTAAAGCACCTACTTAAATAGATACAGGTAGCCAGGTGTAGTGGTACACACCTGCAATCCCAGCACTAGGGAGACGGAGGTAGGAGGATGGTTGTGAGTTCAAGACCAGCCTTGGCTACAAAGTGAGCTCAAGGCCAGCCTGGGCTACATAGTGAGACTCTATCTCAAAAAGACAAATAAATAAATAAATAAATACAGTTGTAAGTCAAAACTATCCCTTTCCTAATCATGTATTTTTGTTTTTGTTTTGTTTTTGGCAGAACTGGGGATTGAACTCAGGCCCTTGCACTTGCCAGGGAAACGCTTATTCCACTGAGCCATCTCCCCAGCCCCATAATCATGTATTTTTATAAAAAGAAAAATTATAACATTTTGTGCATATACTTAAACGTAGATATACAACCACTAGTTTGGTTGTTAGATTATTTACCAATGCCTGGGATTTAAACTGAGGGCCTCCCATACATAAGGCCAGCACTCTGCCACTGAGCTGTACTCCAGCCTTTTAATTTATTTATTTATTTTTAAATTTTTAAAAATTTTATTTGTGTGTGTGTGTGTGTGTGTGGCCAGCTCAGCCCACCTGGGGGCGGGGCTGGCTGGCATGTGGTGCTGGGGGATTGAACCACCGTCCCTGTGCTTTGCTAAGCTTTTTCTAAATAGGTACTTTAGACCACTGAGCCATCTCACCAGCCCCACTCCAGCCTTTTTAAAAACACGCTGCCAAGACTGGCAAGTGCTAGGTCCTGAGTTCAACTCCTGGGACAATCAATCAATCAAAATTCAGCTGGGCGTGGGAGATGTGCCTTAAGGAGAGTGCTGGCCTAATGTGTGGCACCCTGATTTCATCCCAGTACTACAAAAACAAATCTATAAATTCCTCCACGAACTCTTGTTCACCAGCCTGGAACTTCCTAACCATACTTCAATCTAACCCTGCACCTCCCCCTGGGCTGCATGAAACCAACTCTGTGGACGACCACAGAATCAAACTCCCTCCCCTTCCCTCCTGTCCAACTACTGTGGAAACTGCTTATCCAGAGACAAGGCTCTCTACTTCCTGCTTAAGCTGCTACAGTAGACAATAGGCAGTACTTGAGTTTCTGACATTAAAGACAATCCTCAGCACTGCAGCAAAGAAAGAAAACAAGGACGGATATTTGTGTTTCCACAGAACTTAGTACTCACACAGCAAATCCCGGGGTTTTTCTAACTGCTTATTCATTTATCCAGTCAGAAAAAAAAGAAGAGTAAAATAATTAAAGGACCTTTGGAAAAAACAAAAACAAAAAAAAACCAACAAGCAGAGCATGGTGGTGTACACCTGTAATCTCAGGACTTGCAAGGCTGAGACAGAAGGATGACTTGAGTTCGAAGCCAGCCTGTACTACAGAGTGAAACCCTATCTCAAAAAAAAAGAGAAAAAAGGAGAGAGGAGGGGACAGGAATGGAGGAGAAGAAAAGAGGAAAGAAAAAAGCAAATAATTTTTTTTACTTTTATACCATCTTCTGTACTGATAGGTGTTTGACACAAATTTTAAAAAATGTAAATACAACTTATTCCTCTATTTTAAATCTCTTTATTGTTTGTGGTTATATTGTTATCAAATACAAACTAAGCATTGGCTCCACCACTTGGTGCCATATATTTATCTCAGAACTTCAAATATAAACCAAACATTACTATGAATACAGTATCTTTTTTAAAAAAATTCTCTGAGCATGGAGTAGCAAGTTAATAATTCTACCTATATAAGGCAGTGAGGCAGGAGGATCTCAAATTTGAGGTTAGCGTGGGCAACTTAATGAGACCTTGTCTCAAAATAAAAACCAAAATGGACTGGGGAGGTAACAATTAATGGTGCAGCAAGTGCCTAGAATGGACATGGGGCCAGTCCTCAGTAAGGATGCAAAACCAGACCAAACCCAAATACTGGTCCACTGTTCAAAACGTGAAAGATATTTCTGGTTCTATCTAGGACTACTTAAAAAGAAAAGCTAGCCAGGCACAGTGGCAAATACCTTTAATTCCATATTCGGGAAACTGAGGCAGAAGGATCAGTTTAAGAGCCAGCCTGAGTTATAGAGTTCAAGGTCAGCCTGGACTCTCTAGCAAGACTTTGTCTCAAAACAAATCTACATATTGATATATATCTATCAACACAGGGGTACTTCAGTTCATGAATGCTTTTGTTTGTCAACTATTTGGTTTGTAAACAGAAACTTTTGGCAAAATTTTGTTTTTGTTTGCAAACTCTACATCAAGCGACAAACATGACTGCCACCATTTTTTCCCACACAGACACAAACATAGCCATCATTTCCAAAATAGTGCAACAAATTAAGTTTGTGAACCAAGGTGCCCCTGTACACACAGCTATATATCTGTATACAGACACACACACACACACACACACACACACACACACACACGTTTCCAGGTGTAAGCATGTCTGTTTTTGTGTATGTGCATATTCTTCCCACTTCTGTGCTGGGCATCTATCCAGGGCCACAGGCATGCTGCGGAACTGACTACCACTGAACTACACCTGGCCCTATTACTTTAGTTCACCAAGGGCCTTTGGTGTCTCTTAAAAGCGGGTCATAGCTATTTATGTATGTTTACTTAGTTGATAATATACAAAGAGGGGCTGGGGATTTAGCTCAGCAGTAGAAAGCTTGCCTAGCAAGCTGGAAGTCCTGGGTTTGTTCCTCGGCACCAAAAACAAAAACAAACAAAATATAAAGAGAAATCCTTGCATATCCTACTTACCAAGGCAACAACTGGTATAGGCACACCAAATATCTCCTCATCCACTGATCCAAAATTGTGGCTTCAAATGAGATTGATCACAATGTTAGATATACACTAGAATTATTTATTGTAAAATTCAGTGATTTTTTAAAAATTCAGCAGATTTTTAAAGCATAGGCCAAAAAGTTATATAATAAACATACAAGCATCTCAAGCATGAGATATCACCATTTTCTTCATCAAAGCAAAAGAATTGAAGTAAGGCTCTGCTGGCTTACATGTGGGTATTCACTATTACCTTGTGTCCTTTATAGGAGGCAGGACAGAGAGTGGTACAGAAGCCAGGAAGGTAAGAACACCGCTCCAGCACATCTGAGCAGAAAAACACACCATCAGAATATAAAAGTAAAGTAGTAAAAACAAAAGAATCCAAGCTAAGAAAAAATATGGCAATTTAAAACGACAGTCTTTACCTTGTACGTATCAAAACATCCAGTTGTGCTGGCATTTGAAAAATCCGTAGCATACGCAGAACCTAAATTTACATCGGAAATAATGCATCTGTTATCAAGTAATGTAAATCAGTATCTACTCCTCATTTAGAATCTAGACCTCTGTCTACCCTCAAACCCATTTCAAAATGTGTGCTTCCAACTTGAAGTCTCCAGAGCAACTTTCCACTTAATCTTTATGAACCCAGGTGTGCACCTCCACACCTGGCTATTTGTCCTCTTCTTTAAACCAGGGATCAGAAAGTCACTAAGCCTTTATAAATGCTTTTGTAAGCTCTTAAGAGTTCATAAATTTACCAGGCTGGCCTCAAGTGCAGTGGTCCTCTTGCCTCAGCCTCCCGGGTCCTGCACTATACATGTGCATCACTACATCTGGTCTTTATACCAACAGTTCCTTACAGCAGATCTACAGTACCTCTGGTGTTACTGCAACATGCAGCTATTAGGCACCAGAAAACACTCTATCTGCACTACGGCAAGTGCAAAGGGCCATGTTTGAGCAGGATGAACCTTCACTCTCTTCAGATACCTTTTCATTTCACTTACTTGAGACAGAGCTATCAGGTCATCTTTACCTTTTGTGAGCTTATGCAACAACCAGGTATCAATAGTCCCAAAGCAACAATTTTCTTCTTCAACTGCCTCCTGAACCTTAAAAATATAACAACATGAAGACAGTTTAAAAAGACTAAAATGCTTGAGGCAGTACAGATAAGCATATGCAACGTAATCTCTTATGAAAGTAATGTGTACAGCTACATGGGACAGCTCTCCTACATGTACGTGGGTCTTCATTAATTATATTTGTTATGGTTTATTTGTGGATGTTCCCCAAAGCCTCATGCAGTCACTGAAGGGAGCTTTCAGAATCAGCCGTATCTACAGTTTGTGACTGATTTCACTGTCTAGTGCTGGAATTCAGAGTGGGAGTGCTACACCCACCCTAAGTTGAGCAGCCTACATTCCATGCAAGGGTCAGAAGGAATCTCCTCTCATGTGCTTCCCTTTTTGCTCTTGCTGCTTTTGCTGTCCTGGCTGCCATGAATTATTGCCCCTGTGCTATGAGCCACCCTGCCCTGGAGCCAGCTGATTAGGAACTGCAGCCTCCACAAACTGTGAGCCAAATAAACCTGTCCTTCCTTGATTTGGGGTGTCAGGTACTTGGCCTCAGCAAGGAGATAAAAGCAACTAACACCATATTCAACCATGTATTGTAGTTTTCTCTTTTTTTTTTTTTTTTTTTTTTGAGACAGGGTCACACACTGTAGTTCAGGCTGGACTTGGACTGGTGTTGATCCTCCTACCTCAGCCTCTTGAGTGCTGGGTTACAGTTGTGCACCACCACACCCAACCACTACGTAGCTTTAATTTTGCAGAGTTTTTGTTTGTTTGTTTGTTTTGTATTTTAGGGAAGGGTGGACAGGGTGTTCAGGGTCTCACTACTAGATCGGGCTCATAGTGGTCGGGGACTGTTTACAGCCTTCAAGAGCTGGGATTACAGGCCCCTGCCATCATGCCCAGTCTCAATTGCCAGCTCAGTGCGCCCCAGGGGGCTGGGCCAGTACAGCAGGCCCTGATATGTGCCCCCAGCCCCTGCACCTGCCTGCAGCTGCTTTAATCTGCTCAACTATTTGGCCAGCCCTGTAGTTTTTTTTTTTTAAATTTTATTTATCTGTGTGTATGTGTGTGTGTGTGTGTGTGTGTGCGTGCGTGCGTGCGTGTGTGTGTGGCCAGCTCAGCTCACCAGGGGGCGGGGCTGGCTGGCATGTGGTGCTGGGGGATTGTGCTTTGCTAAGCTTGTTCTAAGTAGGTACTTTAGACCACTGAGCCATCTCACCAGCCCCAGCCCTGTAGTTTAAATTTTGCAGTTTTTTGTTAAGCTAATTCCTAGTACTGTAGTCTTTTTCATGCTATTGCAAACAGAAATGTTTCCTTCATTACAGTGCATTTCCAGCTCATCACCAGTGTTTACAAATATATCTGACTTCTGTACATTGATCAGATATCCTGAGTTCTTGCTGAACTCATTATTTCCAACCATTTTTTAGGAGACACCTTACTGTTCCATATAAGAGATTGTGTTCCTGCACCACGGAGACAGTTTTTACAGCTTTTTTCAATCCAGCTGCTTTCCATTTCGCTGTCTTGTCTAGCTGCTCCAGGCTAGAACCCCAAAACACTGCTCACCGGTAGAGGTACAGAGGGAAGAACAGACCACCTGATCTTGTTCCCCAACTTACAGGGCCAGCCTTCAGCCTTTTTCATCATCAAATGTGTTTTCTGGTTTTGTTTCACACTACTGGGCCTGAGGCCTTTGCAGTGAGCTACATCTCTGGCCAATTTTTTTTTCGTTTTATTTGAGATAGAGTCTCACTAAACTGCTAAGAGGCTGGTTTAAACTTGCAGTCCTCTGGCCTCACCCTCATAGAGGGTTGGGATTTAAGTGCACACCATCATACCTATCTGGCTGTGTGTTTTTATAGATCAGTCATAGCTCAGGTGAAAGAAGTTTCCTATTAATCTTAGTATGTTGAGTTTGCATCACCCAGAGGTACCAGATCATGTAAAATGAGCTCCTGACATGCTCCATTTTTGATTTTGTTTTCCTTTGTTATTTTTCTATTTCCTGCTCATCAATTTATTTTATTTTCTTTTTTTTTAAATGTATTTAGTAGAGGGTCTACAGGGTCTCACTACACAGATCGGTCTTGTAGTGATCCTCCTGTTTTTAGCCTTCCAAGCGCTGGGACTACAGGCACGTGCCCCCATGCCCAGTCTCAAATGCCATCTCAGCGTGCCCCGGGGGTGGGGCCAGCACAGCACAGCACAGCACAAGGGGGCAGGAACACTGTGTCAGCCTAAGCAGGTGCTTTAATCCACTGAGCTATCCAGCCAGCCCTTCATGAATTTCTATTATAATCTTCTTTCTCTTGCCCTTTACTTACTTTGCTCATATTTTTCTAGTATCTAAAGATGGCATGTTACATTATTAACTTGATTTTCTTTTGAAAAAAAAAATTTGGTACAGCGTTTCACTACGCAGCTTAGACTCAGTGATCCTCCTGTCTGAGCCTCCCCAGTACTGGGATTATAGGCATGCAGTATCATGTGTGGTCTTGGTGGCCAGTGTGGCGGGCCTAGTGTTCTGGGGCCGGCGCTGGCACAGTATGGGGATCAAACCCCAGCTCCTGCACTTGCCAAAGCAAGCAATCTGCTGAGCTATTTCACTGGCCCCGATTTTCTTTTTTTAAATGTAGTCTTACCCAGGCATAGTGGAGCACACCTGTAATCCCAGCACTCAGGAGGCTGAGGCAGGAAGATTGAGACCAGCCTGGGCTACAAAGCGAGCTTAAGGACTGCCTGAATTGCATAGGGAGACCATGGTTCAAGACACACACACACACACACACACACACACACACACAAATAAAAACAAAACAACAAAAAAACAAGTTTTCTCTTGTTACTTCTAATTCCATTCTGTTAATGGGCAGAAAACGTGCTTTGTACAATTTTGATACTCTCAATTTCAGCAAGGTTTGCAGCATGAGTTAATGCAGGTTTATCCTAGAGAAGCAGGGATACTTACAAGACTGCATTTTCTTTCTACTGGGTAGGGGCTGGGGATAGAGCTCAGGGGCATAGTGCCTGGCTGGCTTTTTATTTGGTGGCGGTTTCTGTAACTATGTGCTAGATCTGGTTAGTTTTTATTGTTACCAAAATGTTCTATTCCAGGCCAGCCAAATAGCTCAGCAGATTAAAATGCCTGCAAGCAGGCGCAGAGCCCAGAGGTTCAATCCCCGGGCCTGCTGTGCTGGCCCGCCCCAGGGGCGTGCTGAGACAGCAATTGAGACTGGGCATGGTGGCATGCGCCTATAATCCCAGCTTTTGGGAGGCTGTAAACAGCTGGATCACTATGAGTCGTATCTAGTGGTGAGACCCTAAACACCCTGTAGACCCTTCCCTAAAATAAAAAAATAAAAAATGTTGTATTACCTTGATGATCTTCTTTCTGGTTATTTTATCCATTATTGAAAAAGTACTGGGGCTGGAGAGATGGCTTAGTGGTCTAAAGCACCTACTTGGAACAAGCTTGGCAAAGCACAGGGACCGCGGTTTGATCCCCCAGCACCACATGCCAGCCAGCCCCGCCCCCTGGTGGGCTGAGCTGGCCACACACACACATACACACACACACACACACTAAATGTTAAAAAAATAAAAATAAAAAAAAATAAAGTTTAAAAAAAGAAAAAGTACTAAAGTCTTCAAGTATTACCATTCAATTGTCTATTTTCCCCTTTACTTTTTTTTTTTTTAACATTTTTTATTTATTGTGTGTGTGTGTGTGTGTGTGTGTGTGTGTGGCCAGCTCAGCCCACCAGGGGGCGCGGCTGGCTGGCATGTGGTGCTGGGGGATTGAACCGCGGTCCCTGTGCTTCTCCAAGCCTGCTCCAAATAGGTGCCCTAGACCACTGAGCCATCTCTCCAGCCCTCCCCTTTACTTCTTTCAGAACTTTTTTTCATGTGATTGGTTATATGCTTGCCTTTTGAGACACAATCTCACTAAGCAGCCCAGGCTGGCCTTGAGCGCACTTCAACCCTCCTGCCTCAATCTCCTGAAGGCTGGGATTACAGGTGAGTGCCACCACACACAGTTGTCTCATGTGTTTCCTGGCTCTTCTATTAGATATATTATTTCTGACAGATCTGATTTTTCTTTTTCTTTTTTTTTGGTGCCAAGGACCGAACCCAGGGCTTCCAGCTTGCTAGGCAAGCATTCTACCCCTGAGCTAAATCCCCAGCCCCTATCCTCTTATCTTTATAACATTTCCCTTGTAGCCAGTCATTTTTGTTTATCATTCAAGCCTATTTTGTTGCAACTGGCATCACAACTCTAGCTTCTTATGGATGCTGCTTGCATGATGTAAGTTTTCTACTCATTGCCTTTTAATCTAACTGTATGTATTTTTAAAGTATATAGTGGGGCTAGTGAGATGGCTCAGTGGTCTGAAGCACCTACTTAGAACAAGCTAAGCTAAGCTAAGCAAAGCACAGGGACCACGGTTCAATCCCCCAGC